CAACATGCCAAAACAGTGTGCTTGAGATTCTGCCACGGCGCTCTGGAGACATTCAGAGCACACACTTGGATGACCTCACCTGGATAGCTCATGTTCAGCGGCCTCCATCTGCCCATAGGTTGCTTATGCTAGAGACTGGCATTCTCAGAGCTGAGGGATATCGGTAGTTGAGTGCTTGGCGATGAGATTAACACACAAGAGCTTAAAGCCGCCCCCACAGACACACACACACACATGCACAACACTGAACAAACAACAAACAGTGCCACTCCTATCTCGGCTTGTTGAAGCTGGCCTGACTGAGAGGTAAGCTTCACACAGGAAAATGAATAATTTACACAGTGCCCTTAACTTCAAAAGCCCAAAGCAATAAATAGTGGAAGGGGAGGGGAATGATGGGAGCAGAGTGAAGAGAACCTCCAGCGATTTTAGCTGTCAAACACTTGCTTAAACATGTGTGGCATACTCATTTGCACCTATATAATGAAGATATTGATATGTGTGAAGACCTGTGATGAATCAGAACAGTTAGAATAGTTAAAGGTGGTTAGTTCTCTATACTTTAGCTAGAGCTACTAGGTCTAGCTGATGCTCATCCAGCGGTCCAAATTAGGGTTGCTGGCTGGCAGTCAGGCGAAACAAGAGCAGGAAGTGCGGTCCATCACAATCAATTTCTTGCGTACGTTCATGCATGAATGGTCAGTGAGGGGGCAAAACCAATTGAAGTCTGAAAAACATGTTTTTATTTGAAAGACGGTCGGTTGGCGGAAGGGAAAACATGTTGATTTACGTTCCACCCATCTCTCTCTTCCTGTATTTTTCTCTCTGATGTGATGATCTGAAGCTGATATAAGCTTATTAGATCACATGCTTTGTGATCTAATTAATCTTTGGCTTAAAAATAAAGCATCTGAAAGGTGTTTGCAGCCTGGTGCCATAAGAGAACCATTTAAAGTTTGGTGGTTCTTCAGTAAACCTGCTTCAAACAACCCAGAGGGCTTCACTTTTACCTTGTTAACATATGATAACTTGAACCAATATGCTGAATATTTTTTAATTCCAAAAAATCATACAGCCAAATTAAGAACTTAAAGCAATAGTTCACATGTCATTCCAAACCTGACTGACTTGCTTTCTCGTGTGGGACACAAAGAAAATATTTTGAGAAATGTCTCTGCATTTAATTTTTTTAGTCGATACAATGGAAAACAATAGTCACCAAATCTGTTTGGTGAACAACATTATTTAAAAATTTCCACAAAAGAAAGAAAGTCATGCAGGTTTAGAATGACATGAGGGTGAATAAATGATGACAGAATTTTCCTTTTTTGCTGAATTATCCCTATAAGGTGCTGCAAAGAACCATCAACATTTTTCTTTACTAAGAGTTTATGAGATTTAGCTTCATCCAGAACAACAAAAACATTGTGCTGAAGTTGAACTTGAGGATAAAAACGTGCATGAATCCCATCCAGCGGTTTTCAACTTGTACATTCATGCCACGCAAAAAAAAATAAAAAATAATAATAATAAATAAATACATCAAAATAAAGTTCATTGGTGAGCATAATTTGTATTTACATATTTCTGACATACTGCTGGCGTTCCTCCAGGCTTCATACGCAAATACGAACACGGACCACGACCTCTGTAACTTGATTCACAAACAAATGACTGGTATGAGCCATATCTTTAAATTATTAGTTCAGAAAACATTCACAAAGTCAGGAGTTACCGCTTCAAATCCTTCTGATGAATCAACTGACTGAACTCACCAAATCAACATTCAGCTGGCCTATTGACTGCTCACTCACTGAACTAGATCCATGTCACATCCTTACTTACTGTTTAATATAGCTACTAGGCTGCTCTTGCTTGCTGTGCTGTCAGATATCGTTGGCAAACATTTTAGTACATCTACTAGAGTATTTCATTAATTGTTCTTTGAAAAACTTATCACATATATCCTCTCCTTCTAGACAAAGACTTGAATTAGTAAACGTCTCAGCCACAAACTGTTGTCAGGAAAGCTGTGTAAGAAAGAGAAATAGCTGACTATGTGATATGATGAAGAGGGGTGGTCTCCGGGATCCTTCATGGCTACTGGGTAAAACCCTACACAGAATTCCCCAGACTACTCTTCTCAATTTCAGTAAGTGGCTTTTTTCCCCCAAGACATTTCTTGTTTTATGACCTTGTCATTTGCTCATTCTAGTGAATCTAAAGCTGTTCAGAGAGCTCACTCAGTAAGAAAAGTAGGTGTGTTCGTGTGTGTGTTTAGAGATTATTGTGGGTGGCCTCAGAGAGAGAGAGCAAAAAACTGTCAACAGTAAATGTCTCCTGTCACACCCTGCTTAGCGTATGTCTAGTCTGGTTCTTCAGAAGTGGATTTACACCAAGAGTTTGACTAAGTGAATATGTATGAAGGCGTAATACTAAAAGGCTTTAGTACTCCAAGTATTCATAGAAAATATTTCTAAGAAGTTAATTATGATAAATTGTTGTTCCACTGCATTCTTCTCTGTGGAAAACAACTAGCTAAGAGCAGAAAGTAATAATCGGTCACACCCAATTCTTATCTAACAGTCGGATCATTGGTGCCATCTTAGGCCTGGCCGAGGATGCCCAGAGATGTTACACATTATAGTGTTCTCTTTCACACAATAGTAGCATGTTCCAAGAAAGTAGCCACGCACAACTTCCCTCTCCCTGTTGTGCACACACACCTATATTTATCTGTTTAAAAATTGCAAAGTTCACAAAGACAGCTAAATTCCCCAAAGATGAGGTGAGATTACTAATACATCTTTGAACTGAAAACCCCCACTGTTCAATTCAAAAGCGTGCAGTCGAAATTCTTTTGAGCTGTTTCTATCTATAAATGTTGGATTAAATGTCACTCGGCACATGTTACTCTTACAACTTGTTTATAGTGTACTCATGTACAATCCTAGCATCAAAACATTCAGGCCATTCAGTGAAACAGGTGCATTTTCTTAAAAGTTTCAAAAAGCTTTTAAACATTGTAATATGTAATGTTTTTAAGTGTTAATAAAATAAAAATAAATAATAATATATTTATAGTACCGAATGTTTGGAGATTTTTTTATGTTTTTGAAATGCTGCATTTATTTGATCAGAAATGCAGTAAAACTGTAATATTGTAAAATATATTTATACTTTCAAAAAAATTATTTCCTAGTTTATTTTTATTTTAAAATGTCATTTATTCCTGTGATGGTAAAGCTGAATGTTCAGCAGCCATTTAATGTCACGTGATCCTTCAGAAATCATTCTAATATGAGTTCTTGCTGAATAAAAGTATTAATAAATTTTTTTTAAAAATCGTACTGACCCCAACCTTTTGAATGGGTAAGTATATTAATTAAACAAAACTTAACGATTAAAAATAGTTGAAAAACTTCATTTTAAAGTCACTTTTATCACATTTACAAGAGACACAAAGGGTACCTTTTAGATTCAATGACCCATCTCATTTTTAAAAAAAAACTATTTTATTGCTCAAAATAAATAGAATCTCCAAACAAAAATGACTCTTCTGTATCAACTTGGACAGATCTAGAGGATCAATCAGTTAGAAATTAGAAATCATAGACATGAAGACATCCTGAATGTGAATTTATACTCATTCAGTCTGAACACACCACAGGTTAATCCACAATTTTGCTGCTTACGGGTCCAAGACTAGGCAAGATGGATTTACATCAATACCATCTAAAGGAAAGGGCACCAACTTCAACTCAAGAACAAGCCAGAGACTAACAAACAGTATAGTTTTTGAACATAAACAGGGTGGAGCCAACACTGAAACACTCTGATGGTGTCTGTTAGTTCATTCCTGGTATTCACCATCCACAGGCATTCATTTTGTATTATTATGGCTTGTTCTGCTACCAGAGCAATCAGAGAGGAATCCAATGCAAGTGCTACTACCAAGTAACCTCAATTGACTTTCTTCGAGCCCTTCCTCCGCTGAGGAGGAACAGGAAGCGACAGTGGAGCGTTAACGGCTTGTCACTGCAATCTTCACCCTTCCCCCCACCTGAACCCCCTCACCACAGCATGTCCGTAAATGGACAACACTTTGCCCTCCATTCCCAGGACAAAAAACACAGGCCCAGGGTTCACATAAAGCCTTGTAATGTCAAGGTAAGCATAGATTAACCTGGACACTTTCCACTACCTCCCCCATACACACCTTTATTACAACTGAAAGTACGTATAAGATTCTTGCTTTATAAGGCATTTATATAAGAACTAATAAGTGCACACAAATGGGGAAAGTAGCTATTGGAGCACAATTCAACCACTTTGCACTAAGCATGAAACTAGTTCGTTGTTTTAAACCAAGAAAGGTTAGGCAGTGGAAGCTGTGGTGCACCAATGATTCTCAGAGCTGTCCCTATCTTAGCAACAGCCTTTAACGGGAGTAAAAGTCATTGTTTCTAGTAGCACATCTCAGATTAACATCAGGTAATGTGATAGTTAACCCTCTCAAAATTAAATGAAAGTAATTTTATTCACCTTTATGCTGTTCCAAACCTTTATGACTTTCTTCTACAAAACACAAAAGATGCTATTTTGAAGAACATTTTTGTCCATTCATTGAGGTCCATAAACCTACTGGACCCAAATGATTTTCATTAGAGAAGGGGAAAAAAAACAACCTAACACAAAGAAACATTTCAAAGCATCTTTTCTGTTCCAAAGAACAAAGAAATGCATAAAGGTTTGGAACAATAGGAGAGTGAATTTTCATTTCTGAATGAACCATCCTTTTTATGATAATGGTAGACTGAACTAACAAAGAAACCGCTTTAACCATGGAAGATCGCAGTGAGAAAAAGATCTGAACCATTTCAAGAAGTAAACTTACATAATTCTAACTTTTCTGCTTGCTTTTGACAGATATACATTTTTTTTTTTTTTAGAATTTACACACCCCTTTTCAATTCCACAAATAAGATGAGAGACTGATGAAAAATTAGGTCAGAGTTAAAACTTGGCCATCTTTATTACGAGTCACACATAGGTTTGAGCCCTTTTGGACTGTTGGGGTGGGGTGGGGGCAAATAAATAAAAGCAACTTGATTTAAGGCAATTCTAAAGCTTAGACCAGTTGTATCAAGACAGGCATTAACCACTATTGTAAGCAAGCAGCGGTTTGGGTTTGCTGAAACTTTACCGTCTAACAAAACTTCAGACTTACAGTTTGGGTCGGATGAACAAAGTTCTGGGTCTAAATGATCAAAAACAACAATTCAGCAATACCATTCTGGGAGTTTCCCATAAACCACAGGTTCTTAAATGTCATTGCTTTTTTGTTCTATGTTAATACATCTGATAAGCAATAAATAAATACATTTTTAAATGTAAAACTGCATTGAAGACAAATAAGGTTTGAGTGTCTATACATTGCACCAATTCACAGTTCTGAAGTGTTGTTACATTCATCCATGGAACACTGCTCGGTGTTCCAGACAGAAACAGAACTGTAGTCCTGACAGGAGCTTGACCACCCGTTTCTGTGGGGAAAGAGGCATCTGATCACCTCTTGTCTTGTTGATGGCGATCACAAAAAATAGATTGAAAGAGCAACTTTTGCTGCCCATCCCGCCACAAGCATCCATATGTTCCAGTCTCAGCAGCTAACGGTGCTCGGCTGCTGTTTGCTCACAAAGTCCGAGATAAAGTCAAACTCATTCTGTCCCAGAAAGAGTTCAGGGAGTTCCTGCACCCTGTCCAGTCCTAGCTCCATGACCAGCGAAGTCAAAACCTCTTCGTCGATCAAATCGGCATCCATGCCATTGAGACTGAGAGCCGGGCCGGCCATATGCTGCATGTTGCTCAACTGGGCCTGACCCATGCGGAACTGCACCCCGTTCCCCATGTGGTTGCCGTTCATGTGTCCCAGCGGGTGTCCATGGTACTGCGTATTGAGTTTCTGAAGGTGCATGCTGGCCATGAGCTGTTGGGTAGTGAGACCTCCGCTCATGTACTGTTGTTGTTGTTGTTGTTGTTGCGGCAGAGGCTGTTGCTGCTGTGCTTGGTGCATGTGGTGGTGCTGTTGGTGCTGCTGAACGTGATGTTGTTGCGGCTGGCCCTGGTTGTTGAACATCATGTTAGTTGACTGCATTTGGTGGTGACCCATCTGTCCATTCATAGGCCCCACCATGTTGGCCCTCTGGTGCATGGTGGCCTCCATGTTTCCCTGAGGCCCCGCTCCATAGTGCATCATCTGTCCACTGGGCATTGCTCTCAGGCCAGGCTGGGGCACATGCTGCTGGGGGCCCGCCTGCAGGCCTCCATTCATGCCCATCCGGTAGCCATGCAGACCCCCGTTACCCTGTCCGTGGTTCATGGGCATCATCATGTGCTCTGCCATAGAATCTCCCTTCAATGAAACAGATGATAGTAGAATTAGACTATTGACAACAGAAGCGAGTTTTTTTGCTCTCAGCAAAACTTATACACGTAAATACGTGCCACAAATTTTATAAATGCACAAAGAAATCGAACACTTTTTCTTCAACATTCAGCGAAGATTAAACTAATTTCCACTCTCATTGGACAGATAGGTGAGATGGGGAGGTTTTTTGCACCTTCCAGCCCACCTGACTGCCCACTCAACACACTACAACCTCTTAAGTCCTAATGATGCGCATCCAAACAGCACTTTTGAAATTGAGTGGAGTATTATTCTCAATTCTAAACCTTTCACACAGCCTTGTTTAATTTCCATCTAAATAAATGCAAAGTATTTTTTAAACACTGGATCTAAACAATGAGGATAACTGAAAATACATCTTAATTAAAACCTTAAATTTGTGTAAGAAAAAATATTAAATGCCATTTTTTTTATTATAACCTTGTACTTTAAACACAAAAAATTTAAAGAATGCACAACATCAATCCAAAGAAAGTCACCGTGCAGTGAAGCAAACAATGGATCTGCCACCCTGAACCCTAAAACACTGGCGCTGTCTCAAAACCTAGTGAGCTGCCTACCTAGACAGCATTTTGGGCATCAAAGGCGCGTGCAAGGTCGTAAAATTCCGCACGCGTTTATGACGCCTAAAATTCTGTCTAGATAGCCAGCACACTGTGTTTTAAAACACAGTCCGTGAGTTTCTCAAGCGTTTTGAATCTCTTACCTCGTGTCCTGTGCTCAGTGACTCCAGACCGCGGCAGGACAAATGAGCTTTATCTGTTCAAAAGCCTCTGAAGAATTACACTGTATATTCCACAAGGTGAAGCTTCATACTTCAGCGGACCGACGCACAAAAGAGCGCTGCTCACTATCTTCAAACGAGTGTTTGTGTGCATATATGTGTATTTTCTGGGTCAACTCCACTAGCTTATATACATGAGAAAAGCGGAGAGGTGGAGCTATCGTTCACTCTCTATCCTTTGTTGCTATTGGCCCTGCTGCTTAATATCAGTGTGCATGGAAACCCCTAGCGGTTTCTGTCAAACACTGGCCAATTTTTGTCAACAGTTTGGGGTTGTTTTTCTGTTTCTGATTTAAAGTGAACAAGAAATCCCTTCCGAAGAAGCTGATCTGTTTGATGTTAAGGAAAACCTGATAGATAGATAGATAGATAGATAGATAGATAGACCTATTGTGTTTATGTTTATATATGTATGTAAATTGATGATGCTGAATCCAGATTAGATAGATAGACAGACAGACAGATAGACAGACAGACAGACAGACAGACAGACAGACGATAGATAGATAGGCCTAGACAGACGGATAGATAGATAGATATAGATAGATAGATAGATATATATATAGTAAAAAATGAAGTTGTAAATAAAACAAAGATTATTGGAGTACCTTTTACAAGTAGCCTACAATATCAGTGTTTCTACTTCAGTTTTTAATGTTTAATTCAATGTGTTACTTGTTGTTTCTTTGTAGTTAATTGTGAAATTTACTAGCAATTTCTGAGTGAAAATTGTTTCTTTCCCCCATTTTTTTTCAGTATTGATAGATATGCATCTAAACCTAGATAACAAACATATCCACTCTGGTTGAAGACAAAACATTTTTAGATTAATAATTCTAATGTTAATCTGTCTAGTTAAATATATGTCCTTATGTGTTGTTCTCCAGAGCTGTTTTTGTTTTGGTCGGTGTAAGTGCTTATACATTAGTGTGAGAGCGTGTGATCTGGCGGCTCTGTGGCAGTCCATGTGACCCAGTGCTCGCTATGCTGCGCCGTGTCTTTGCTGGGTGAGAGAGAGGGGAGGGGAAAGGAATGCTGGTGCTATTCTGGGCCACGGCTGGAGTGGTGGTGGTGCAAGCCTGGGCTGCATGTGGAAGTTGCAGAGCACAAGGTAAATAGTTGGGCAGCTTCCTATCAGTTTGGTTCTCATGATCTTGATGAAGATGGTGTACCATACCAAATTGGACCCTGATCAATTGCTCTAAACAAAACACTGGACTTGTCTGTTTGAGAGAACAGGGAATCAACATTCTCTGTTTTGTCACAATAGCTCTCTGTTTACTCAGAGGTCAACACTGGTCAGAGGAGAACCTCACACCTCTAAACTGCATTATCTCTTGACAAATTAACATCTCAATTCCACTGTCTTTGTTTTGTGTTATTACCAAGACCTTGGGTGTAATTTATATGATAATCTGTTCGCACCTTCAATAGCTTGCTGCACTTCTAAAGTGTTAAAAACAAATTTTGTGGTGTTGGGAAATATGTGACAGAAGTCACATCACATTATTAGGTCGAAGATAAGTTATAAAGATAAGTAAACTGACAGTCCACACTAGACCAACTAAAAAGTTCAGCTTATACAAAACTGAGCAACAAGATCATCTTCAGCAAGACCAGCTAGTTCTTCATTGTTCCTTCCATGTCGTTTATCTGGATACCAAAGGTCATCTGGAAGCATAGTTAAAACTGTGTATATATGTTGGGTTTTCTCATGATTATAATACTAGTCACGTTATCATGGATCATCTGGCATTACCATATTCAAACTCCTTGAAGAAAAAATTGAGCTTCTGCTACATGAAGCATAAAACTTGCATACTTTTTTGAACAGTTACTAAATAGGTACAAAGAAACCATTCAATTATTCAGTTATTTGCTCTCTACATTATTTCTTTCATTTTGCTTGATTTGATGTTGCATATTTCAATTACTTATTTTGTTAAGAAATTTTATTCCGTTTTTATATATTAGTTGACATGTACCATGTCCATACACTTTCTTTTCTTTTCTTTCTTTCTTTTTAGGTTAAAATTTTAAAGAACATATTTTTTTTGTATTTTAAATCAAGCCTAAAAATTTTAGGTTAACATTTTTAAGAACATATTAAGGAAAATGGGTATTTTATGGGCTGATCACCATGTCTTTTAAGTGTTTTTTTTTTTTTTTTGTACCATTTTCACATATGCATTTCCTTCACTAGTTCTTTTTAAATGGTTCAGCAGTGCGACAAATGAATTTTAAAAGACAAATACTACAAATATTTCATTAAATAATAGTCTTTTAAGTAATGAGGCCATGAAATCAGCATGCATCATAATTGTCACACCACACGACACGTTAGCTTTCCTGAACTCTTTAATGTAAATTATCCACCAATTATAATATTCACTATAGAGGGAAATGTAAAACGTCTTTATTTTTGTTGTTAATTTTATATAATGTATTCTGAGTTGGACCCCTATCAGAGTAGTGGCCACTTTGCTAATGGGGATCCAAATAAATAATAGAATACAAAGACTTTCACCAAGCCGTTTGTACTTACAGAGTGTAAGATCCACAAGATCTCAGTTTTTAATAATCATTTATCTAGAGTCAGGTGTTGTGATTCCCTAATAGAATAAAGCAGCTGTGGTTAAATCAATATTTCAGTGAGAATAATCACACCACATATTCACAATTACCTGTGCATTAGACCTCATCCACTCCTCGAGGCAGATGACGGCCCATTGAGAACTCAGCTGTGGGAGCTGCTTATTTACCTACAATACCACAGCTTTACAAAGGTGTGCATGTAGACATGGAGGATTAATGTCTATATTCACACTAACAATTCAAACGTGATTAAACCTAAACAGCTAGACGTGCTCGTGGATATCAGCGCCACAGCCCTGAGCACTTGTCCTAAAGTTAGTGGTTTAGTGTCCAGCTTAGACACCTAGTTTGCGGGCTTGTTTGTACAGTGTGTGTCTGGTTGGCCGCGGGCTCATCCTCCCCCACACCTGATTAGCAAAGAGGTAAGAAGCTGGAGGAGGGGCCAGCCAACTGCCACCAAGAGCTGCCTGCTAGAGGACTCAAGAGAGGCTAAATACAGTTGATAACATATGTAGATTGTATGTGTTAAACTGACAGCTTTTTCAGGCTAGTTTCACACCCATTTACACATTCACCAAAGAATTGCTGTTTGTTGTGGAGATGCTGCTGTAGGCTTCTTATTGACATTTTTAATGTCTTAATTCACATTCTTGGTCTTATTCTAATATGAGTCATTAGTGCACACTTTACCAAATACATAGCAAAGTTTGTCATCGTAACTTTTTATCAATTATTAAGAACTTGCTCTTCATATGAAATGATTTTGCTGAAAACACTGAGGCCTTTCGGCCTACTGGACAAAAAATATTGATAGACAATAGCTAAATAGTGATGTAGCTTGTTCTGGCTCCACTGTGATATGCGACACTCACTTTTCAACATCCAATAAAAAACAAATAGCTTGTTTAATTTGAAAATACACTATCATTCTATAGTTTGAGGTCAGTAAGATTTTTTTTTTTTTTAAAAAGAAACAAATATTTTATTCAAGCATGCATTAAATTGATCAAATGTGACAGTAAAGACATTCATAATGTTACAAAATGCTGCTCTTTTAAACTTTAAATTAATCAAAGAATCCTGAAAAAGTGCATCACGCTTTCTAGAAAAATATTAAGGCAGCACAACTGTTTTCAACATTGATAATAAAAAATTTTTTTTCTTGAGCAGCAAATCAGCAAATTAAAATAATTTCTGAAGGCTCATGTGACACTGAAGACCAGAGTAATGGCTGATAAAATTCAGCTTTGCCATCATAGGAATAACTTACTTTTTAAAATATATAAATATGTACAGTTATTTTTAATTGCAATAATATTTCATAATATTACAAAATTTTCTATTTTTAATCAAATAAATGCAGCTTTCAGTGAGTATTCTTTCAAAAACATTTTTCCAACCTCAACCTTTTCAACAGTAGTGTACATCACATTATGGAAGTAAAAAGAGCAGCAAACAGCTATTTTGATCAATTTCCTAGTAAATCATAGATGTTACAGCATGCTACAGTGTTTTTGTCATTCAGACACCCTGCTTTGCTATGAGGAGATCAGTCTCTGTCCCAGCTACCCCAACCCAGTTACAGAAACACTTCACTATCTACCTTGTTTATTTAGCTCCAAAGTGACCCCTCGCTCTCTCTCTGTCAAGAGTTGAGCAGCTGGATATTTCTGCAAAGCTGTTGTTTTCACCCTTGTTTTTTTCCAATAGATTTCTTAGCAAGGGCTAGGAACTCATTTTCATCAGTATTCTGGCATGAATTGTCTACAAATTAGAAGTAATTTTTGTCACAAGGGTCACATCAGGTCAGGCTTTGGGTGCTGGCTGCCTTACAAGTGTACTCCCTGTAAATGCATGACGCAATTATGAGTTGCAACAGTTTAAATATGATTTAGTTGTGCAATTTGTTGTTGACTTCTATGGAATGTTAAAAACAGTGTAAATCAGTCTGAATGTTATATATACGTGATGACGTGATTTAATTTTATATGGGTCTTGCACAAGACGCGTCATACAACATGACAACTGTAATATAACAAAACCAGCACTTTATCTTGTGACTGGTCCAGTAACTTGCAGCGCCACAATTATAGGCCATAGTTCAGACTTCCCAAGACTGCATGTATGGCAGCAGGAGAGGGACCTTCTACGGTTTCACCAAAACAGAAACACACCTGCTGGGATTTAGAGAATCTTCTCTCCACCCCCACTCATCCAACCCTTCCCCCAAGACTACATATTCATAATGCTTTGTCTTATTCTGCAGATCAACTTCTCCTGAAGCACCAAGACTTAACACTTAACAAAATAAAGAGCGTTACCACCCACTCAAGACACGGGCCATTGAAGGTGTTCATATCAGTGCTCTAGAACCAACATAGGCGTTACCTTATAAAGCTTAACGGTTGGCCCATAATCACCAAGCTGCCTGTTGGAGCATTCACAAATAATTAAGGAAAAGATGTTCTCAGAAGATCAGGATGGCAGCACCATCTGCTATTTTGTTGACTGCTTAAACAGTGATGTTGGTTAGCCTACTTGACATTTGGCTACATGCAGACTTTGGTGCATCCGTGAACTACAGTTCTGGTGGTTTCAGCACCTGCAGACCCAGTTTTGTTCACGCAAAACAATCTGTTTCAGTTGTGATCTGTGCACCATTTTTGCATGATCTTGCCTTCTCACGGAGCAGCTGTGGGACCTGTAAGAATCCACGTCCTGTGTAGAGCTTGTGTTGTTGTTCTAAAAGTGTGTGACTCAGTGTTTATTACTCTCACTGTTTGTACAGTGGAGAAGGTTTTGACAGAAGGCATTGTGGGTGCCCACAGCCTTAAATGTAAAAAAAAAACAAAAACAGATGGTCCCTGAAACTAAACAATGTATTTTTTTCTTTGTGGTGCCTAATCTAATGTTTGCTGTATTAACAAAAATTAAACAGACAATTACATTAAAGAGAATATGAATGAATTACAAAAAAAAAATAATAATAATAATAATAGAAAATGTGGAAAAAAAGTTTTTGGTGCCTAATCTTCTTCAAATATATGTGTACGACATAAATATGTTTTGGCCTTTAAAATGAGTTAATAAAATCAATAGCAATTCAAAATATTGTCAAGGATGTCAAGACCCCTAAGGTGTGACAAGACAGAATCTGGGAGGATACAGATATTTAATGCATTTAAAACTAGCTTCTTTTCATGCTTGGCTAATTTTATGTTAGACAATCATTCTCAAAATGGAAATTAGAATAAAATAAAAATGTGTGCCTATAATCCTTTAAAAAGTCACAAGACAGCAAGAATGCACCATATTCACAAAAACTGTTTAACGGTGAACAAGTATTAATTCTTAATGTTCTCCAGAGACCATATAAGCAGTGGTTGATATATGTAATTGAGTTTTTTCATTCTAAGATCAACTGAGCTGCGAGAACACATGCACCAAAACTGCATTGTAACCCAATTTTTCCCTGATTACTGTCACACTGAAATGACCCAATTCTATGTTAGCTGTCAAAACCACCTTGTAAACTGTAACTATAGTGCAGTGCTCTCAGTTTTATTTTCCTGTCATCATCGAACAGTGAAACTAAAGTTTGATTCTATCTGCACTCCTCTCCTCCCCCCACACCTTATTTTGTGTTGTGGTGGTGAAGTGGCTGTGGGGGTTTGTTATTGTTCAGACTTCTCATACGAGAAATGTCTATAAATACATGCAGAGCTTCCTCTTGGTGAACAGAACGCCCCATCGCTGGGAAGTGGAGGCTGCTGGACATGGTGAGTCAGGGCCATGGGAGAGGACAGTGGGTGGATACACAGCCACTGAGGAAGAGTCTTTGGCTTTTGCACGAGAGGGTCTTGTTTCAAGGCATGAGAGCAGCGTTCGACTTCTCTAAACCCCATTTAGGAGGGCCACATCCTGTTGAAAGCCCTGCAGATAAAGACACCAAAATATTATATTAATTAGCAAGAATTGTATTGGAATTACCCTATACTGCACATGATCTATAGTAGGGCTGTCACAATATTTGATATTTCACACCACGGTTATTGTGGGCAAAAGAATTCACGATATCGATATATCGCGATATCTATAGAAACCTTGAGGAACCAGCCAAATTAATTTTTACTTTGTTTATTTAGTTTTTCTTTTTACCCACTGAACATAAGGATACTGATAAACACAGGGCACATACATTTTCACTTCTTCTTCAGGTCGCAGCTGACCTGAGACTCTGGCTTTCTCTGTCTTCTTTGAAGCTCCCTATGAAATAACAAGAGAGAAAATACAGTCAAGTTCAACAGTATGATGAATAAATATTAACATCAAAACTGATAATTTAACCTATTAACCTGCATACCCGTATTTTAATCTCTTTAATCTATAGTTGCACCGGCGCCAATGAAGTCATGCAGTTTACGCGCTTCTAATTCAGTATTAATGTGCGTCTAGAACGGCCGCAGTTGAGGCATTAAGTGCATAGCACTGTGACCGACTTAACATTTTACAGAGTTTAATGTAGCAATGTGGTCGCTCAGTTTTTCTAGATGTTTTAATCGTGTAATAGATTTGAACAATCAAGTGCTACGCACATGTATTGGCCATGACTTGATTGCAAATACAAATACAAAAATTAGACGAGTAAAGAAAACGCGGTACTTATTAAAAGAATCACCCCTTTATTTAAATATATGAACACAGGAAACCACTGTTATCAGGTTAATGTATCATTTGCCATTCCATGACTAGTAAAATAATGGCAACTTACTGTTAGCGGGGCCGTGCGCTTTGTCTTCTTCTTGTTTGACAGGTGTCAGCGTTAAGGCGCAATACTGCCACCTGGGAGCTCAACCAGGTACTGGCGCTGGAGTATTTGCATGTCCTGTTATCAGAAGTGCCCTGTTCATTGTGGTTATCGCCAATGGTTATCGCCAATCGCTATATCGTCACACCCTAAATTAACATGATGTCGATATTTCATGATTTGAATATCACGGTTATCGTCAATACTGGTATATCGCGACACCCCTAGTCTATAGTCTATCTGTTCAGAAATACACCTCAGAGAACTCTTAAATGGTATTGAGATTCCCTTTCCACTGTTAGTAAATCACTGTTTACTCCACTGTTGTCCATGCCTAGGTACTGAAAGTCTTGATTATTAATGGGTTATGGAGACAGGGCTATCCATCAGTTCTCGTTCCTTGGACACAGGGCAGAAGTCAGAACGGGAGATCAATGACACGCCACTGTGTTGTCACTATAGGTTTGTTTTTATTACAAAATATCCAAAAGCTCTGCAGCAAGCCATAAATGCTCTCCAATTAGAGTAATATTAAACATCCTGTATTAGTATTAGTATTGTAATACAATTTATTGTATGCAAAAACATCAATATTGACTCAAGGAATGTTGGGGGGAGGGTGGAGAAATGAAATGAAATAAGAGTATTAAATAAGTATTAAATATTGTTTGAGAATGGATTTGAAGTGTCATATTACCAATTCCAAACTGAAACTAGGATGGAAATGTGTGATAAAAGAGAACCACAATTACAAGAAATCGAAAGTAAATGAGTGGCTTTTTGTGTTAGGAGGAACTAGGCAGAGATTCCTTGATGTGGAAACTCCCAAAGCATTCAGCAGCGTTACAATCTCTCTGTGAGTGTCATGTTTATTCAAAAGATGACACAAGAAATTGTCTTATCAGCGAGTGCTGGATGTGATCTTTAAATGTTTGTAAATCTCCAATCGTTTGTGTCATTCAGGGATTATTAGACACATTTTCCACAGGAATTTCATTACTGGGGTTTTGAGCTGTAAAAGAGGGTATTTGCGTATGGAATGTATTGGAGCACAATGGTGACATTTTACTTCAGCCATTGTTTGTTGACATTTGAAAACGACCATATCTACCCACAGTGTTATCGCAAGTTTGAAAACATTGAAACCACCATACAGGGAAACCTAATACCATAAAAATCAACTTTATTTGAAACATGTTATTAACGATTGAATAGATGTTATTTCTCTGTGCCGGTGATTTCAATCTCACATTATTCATTGATTGACATTCGATATTTTAGATATGACACAAGATATTTTAATGCGTTTTCACTTTCGCTTTTCACAGTAGTAAATCATTTTAATTCACAACCTTTCCTCCAATCTCCGATCTGAAGGCACTTGGCATACAGCCACGACACAAGATGGCTAGCAACCTGAAAAAAACTGAGAGAGTGAGAGGGACCTGTATGGATAACAGATAAGTATTTTTCGTGAGAATCCTCTGGAGACGAGACGAGGTGGGAGAGAGCGAGAGGAGAGCTGAGCGTGCAGCGACGCTAAGAATGCTGCATGAATCTTTTATTATCCCCTAGCCCAGTTAATGAGGTGGTGCTTCTTTAATAATTAGCGGGGAGACTGAGGCGTATTTCCATAGCAGAGCCTAAGGATGCAGAGGGCATCAGGGACGATATGAAGAATGTGGGACGCATCAGAGAAGAGCTGGAAACCACACGCTGAGCTGCGAGAGAAAGATACACACGTGTTTTCAGATGTGTCTGTGTGTGTGTGTGCAGAAGTTTGCTTGTATGTGTACTTGGGAAATGAGTGCTTTAGTTTGGAAAACTGGAGGATTTGAGGGGGTGTTTGCATTTGGTCTAGCTATCCGATTGGGATAAGACCCAGTGTAAATGCAAACCTATATGCCTCAGGAGGTGGTTTGAGAGACAACCATATACATTTACACTTGTGACTCAGTCATCTGGTCAGGCCACATATGTAAACTTTACTCCTCCCAAATAGAAATATGTCAACATAAGGCTGTTTAAGAGCCTCACAATCCACATTACAGTGAGTAATCATGAATGAGACACACAAAACTAAAACATTAACAAAACGAAAACATTAATTGAAGCTAAGAGAGCGTTCAACAGAACATTTCATACCCGGCATTAGCAGCATCCAGGAAGTGAGCACCATTATAATTGCATATAGTGCTGGAAAAGTAGAACAAATTTATGTCAAATCATATTTATGCAAGTATAAATAGAACACACATAACTAACTGGACAGCAAGTTGATCAATCAAGACACAAAATTACCAAAGAGGCCTTATGAAGCGTTCACCAGTTGCAATAATATTCTTTTCAAGGCTGAAACATATTTTTGTGGAAAAGAATAAAATAAAATTAAAATATAAAAACTTTTAGGGTCAAATGGCTCAAAAGGTGCATTAGTGCTCTTTTCAAGGCTGAAACTGCATATTTAGGATTTGTGGAAAACAAAATTAGTATTAAGTAATTAAGTAGTAAGTAATTAAAATAAATTAAATTAAAATAAAATGAAATGAAATTTAAATTAAATAAATAAATTGTAAATAATATAAAAAAAGTAAAATTAAAATTGTAAATAATATTTAAAATAAAATTTAAATTAAATGTAAAACAAAAACATCAAAAAATAACATGTAAAATAAAATAAAATTATTGTACATTTTAGACTTAAATGGCACCTGGCACCTTATTACTTGCACTAATTCATGCACAAGTTGTAAAATATGTAAGATCTCTGTACTGTTTTACTAAAACACACAACATACAAAAGAAACAAGCCAACAGCCACATTCTTGACACCCAACCCCATTACCCTCCCCCACTAATATACACCCCTCCCCCACCAGAGCACACCAGCCTGCTTCACACACAGAGACTCTCAGGGGCGGGCCGGCTGTGAGGCTTGCCCTCGATGTGAGTGTGTGTGTGTGTGTGTGTGTGTGTGCACAAGGTGGAGAGGGGGGATGTTTTCTCTTTAGACAGCTAATTGACTCACAGATATCAGGATGAGCCGACAGAGGGGTGTCAGTGCAACACACACACAGTCAAAACGGTCTGCAAACAAATCTGTTATGGCCACGTCAAGGGCCTAGTTCTTCTGGTATAAATAAATCCAAGGCACAAACAGAGTTTGCAGAGCAAGAGCACACGACCGCGAGCCAATCAGTTCTCGTACACAGACGTGCATGCAGACCAAAACACACAAACAGACACACAACACCTCGTGAGACGCATTCACTGCTGCCAACAAACCAACCCCTGCTGTAACTCAACCTGAGATGGTGTTTTGAACAGCACACCGCTACTGTGCTCTATTATGAAGAGACTTGTCTATAATCTATAGTAAAGGGTTCCCCAATGTAAAAGTCACATTCATTTTCTCCAGAGGAAAAAAGAAAAAGTAGAAAACATAGTAATAATATATAAAACTTTCAAGACTACCAGACTATCCAGAGGTTTTAAATCATTGGCTAAATAAATAAAAATCAATAAATTGTGTGTGTGTGTGTGTGTGTGTGTGTTATATATATATATACATGGGCGACATTGGGGGCATTTGCATTTACATTGCATTTGCCCCCCC